TTACCATTATCTTCTATCACACATTTTCTTTGGGGATTCAGTTTTCTCTTTGGTGGAACACATTTTCTAATTATAATTAGAAAATTATAATTTTCTAATGGTCAACCACCTGAATCCTTATGTATCTGAGAATATTTGTCATTATTTTGTACTCTTTTAAATGTTAATTTAGTTGACCAGAGAATTCTAGGTTAAAACAGTTCCCTTAGAAAACTTTGTTCTGCTACCTATTAATATCTACTGTGTTAAGAAGTAGATAACCTGGCTAGCAGTTTCTTTGTAGCTTTCATGCTCTGAAATTCCATCACCATGTGTTCATTGCTATTTCATACTTCTGCATTTGACTCAGCACAAATAAGAGCTTTCAACCTGAAGATACTGTAACATTTTTTTCTCATTCCTTTGAGAATTTCCTTCCAGGTGCTACCTAGATCTCCCCTTAGATGAATATTGGAACTTCTGGATTTACTTAAATTTTTATGTCATTGCTTTATCCTTTCTTCTGCAATCTTTTTTTTTCCTGCAATTTTTAAGAAAATTAGGCCTAATCTTCAATCTTATGAATTCACCCTTCAGTTAATCCTGCATCAGTATAGCCTGAATTCAAATCCTGAATTCAGCTACTTTTTGCTGTGTTACTGTGCGTCAGTTAAACCTCTCTATTCTTCAGTTTACTTGTGTGGAAAAAGAATATACTAATACTGTCTACTTTACAAGATTATAAATATTAAAAATGTAAATACATGAGTGCTGCTGCTATAATAAAATGCCTGAATGCTGCTGCTATAATAAAATGCCTTAGCCTAAGCAACAGAAATTATTGGCTTATAATTTTAGAGGCTGGAAAGTCTAATATCAAGTCACCAACACTTGCTATCTGGTAAGAGTCTACTCCTCATAGATGATGCATATGGCTGAAGGGCATACAAGGTCCCTAAAGCCTCTTTTATAAGGTCACTACTTCCATTCACAAGGGCTCTGCCTTCATGCACTAATCTCCTAACGGCATCACCTCTGATCTCATCATCTTGGAGGCTAGGTTTCAACATTTGAATTTTGGAATCATAGCGAATGTTTAGAAGAAACTGTAATACTTATTATATTGATAATAATATTTATCATTTTAATGTTATGTACTTATTTTTATCTATTTATTTCAATAAATATACTCTTAGCCCTCTAACTAGCTTGTCTTTATAATAACTGTTGTCTTACGAATTTAGGCTCTTGCATTATCCTTGAGGATAAAAAAATGCAAATTTGTAAGACTTTTGCTCTATTAATTATAACTTTGTTGATTCTGTTTGTTGAGAGAAGCTGGTGTTTCTCTTAGTAATAGATTTCTACGAATGATTGGTGACTCTGGGTTGTCCTCTCATCTTGGTGTTTGGAACTCTCATTTGCCTATCTGTGGTGTTGATTCTGATTATGAGTCCTTGCTTTGCTGATTGTAATGGGAGGGGGGCTGGGCAAGACATGGAGCAGTAGAGGGGACATGTGGTCCTACTTCTTCCCATAACTGAGGATCAGCACCCTGGAGTGCTGTCCTGCTTCCTCGAACCAAGCACTCATACTCACAGAGAGTGTGTGTCAGCGCTGAAGGTGGTTGTGAGTCTCATTACTCTGCTTATTTTTCTTCACATCAGTAATCACTATGCATCTAAAGTAATCTTAATTGTTGATTATTTATTTATAAGCTTATTGTTTGCTTCTGTGAAGGCAAGCACCAAGGCTTTATCTTCAGAGCCTAGTAAGGGTCTTATACAGAATGATCTATATATTTGTTGAAAGAATTAATGCTGTTTTTGGTTACTCAGCATAACGAATGTGCCTGCTTTCATAATAATTGTCTCTGACCTTGAGGCTGCCTTAATTCTCATCTCAGTCTGACGCACAGTTTATGGTTCTACTGATAATTCAGTCCTACCTGCCTTTATATAGTCTAGGAAGACTTCTGTATTCACAGACCTCTGATGTTATCTTTTAGAACCTTAATGAATGTTTAAAAACATATTTTCTGCTATATCTTGAAATATGTGGTGACAGAAAATGTCTGGAGTATGCTTTTGGAAACTCCCTAAGTGGTGTCTCTGATTCCACAGTGTGATTTTAGTTGGTGCACAGATTTGATACTAAATAACATTGAACACATTAGGTAGAAGATAACCCCCTTTGGGATTCTCTCTTTCTTTTATAAATATTTTAAAAAACAAAAATATTTCAAATATACAAAGATACAGAGAATGATATAATGATATCCAAACTAACCGCCTAGATTTAACAATTCCAAACAATTGGCAATATTTGATATATTTAAGTAGGTATCACCTTTGGAGGGTCCTTTGTGTCTTCCCATTCTGTTCCTCTTCCTCCTTTCTCACTGTCCTGAGGTTGACCTGTATCCTTCTTGCCTATGTCCTTGCTTTTTATAGATGGCTGTATTTACCACACACATAAACAGCGTATTAAGTTGTTCTGCAGGCTTTCTGCACATAACTGTGATCAGTTCCCTCAATCCTTCCAATCATGCCAGGAGGAAACTCTCACTCTGGTCAAGTTTTGCATGCTTTTTCTGCCATTTGGTTCTCTCTCTCTTTCTCAATATGTAGCCTAGGCTGGCTTTAAACTAATAACCCTCCTGCCTTGGCCTGCCTGAGATTGTAGGTGTTCAACACAATGTCCAGCTCACTATTTTCTTTTAATAAACTAAGAGCAGACCTCTTAGGCAGTGATAGCTAGCTAGAATTTAAAATATTGCCTTATTTCCATTATATTTATTTTACTGGTTTTTTTGGTTCTTCTTTAAAAATTTCTCTATTTCCACTTACAGTAGTGATTTATGCTTTCTTTTAAACTAAACATAAGGCATAAAAAGTGTCAATTTAAAGAAAAACGTTAAATGATAAGAGAGCATAGGCAGCATACAGACATGGCAAAAAATTAGTTTGTACTGGAATAGCTGAAACTCCATATATACTTGACCTAAAGGATGAAGTTCAAGCTCCTAAGTGGACATGAAAAGCTTTTCCTAACCTGACCTCTGCTTTCTTCCCCAGTCCAGTGGCATCATCCTTACTTCTCCTCCAGCTGTGCCAGCTGCCTCTCCTTCCCTTACTGGCTGAGGGGCTATAGGACTCCCCTGCTCTGTGGTGCTTCCTGGAGCCCCCCACTTAGGCCCTCCCCCCTTATCCTCTGGCTCAAAGGAAGATCTTCTTCACTTAGTATCTGTCATTGTACTGCATATATAATTCTCTAAAGTAAATCTAAATCCAAGGGTAGAATTAGCATGGCATGAGCAGGTTCTAAGGTCAAAAGAATGGATCTGTCTTTAATGTTTCAAGTAAAGTCTGATGAAGACTGTATATGGGGGAAAATGTTTATCTCACATTTCCTCATGTTTGAAGTTTTAAAGACACTCGCTCAAGGATCTCAATACCTGATTTTAAACGATTTTTCTTTCACATTGAGACATATATACTAACCTGTTGTCTAGATAACTAACCTGTTGTCATGGGGGAAGAAGAGGACACAGAAGAGAAAAATGAAAATGATGAGAAATAGTTTTTATGTCATTCCGGCTTACTGTACTGCACAGTCCTTATTATACTGAGCAGAATAATTTCACTAGTAAAATGAGAAATTGACATACAACCTTTACAGGCACAAGCTCTTGAAACTGTTCCAGTTTTCAAGTTTTTTGCTCATGATCCATATTGTATTTGAATAAATACAATATTATTAGCAAAAAAAAGCAGCAAACACCTAATACTGTTTAAAACTCTAGTATCTGTAGTCGCGACGAGCTAACTGCTTTGGCTTCCATTCATCCATTCATTCATTCAAAAGCCTATTCTGAAGCTCTTATGCGTTCTACATGATTAAAAAACCCTCATTTTACTTGATCAGAAGTAAATCCCTGTTTTTACAAAGCTTTCGGAGCTACGACTGTATTTGTGGGGGGAAGAGGTTTTAGCGTTTTCTATCGAAGTATTTTTCGCGTGGTCAAGGCCGGAGAGGAGGGGCTGAGCGAGGACTGGGGAGGTGACTACAGAATGTCATGTTACCATGGTAAACATCCAGCCTGTAAATGAGAGCCGCGAAGTGAAATCGCTCTTCGCGTACACCTTCCAGGTTCCATTTATCCCCCAGACAAACTTTGCCCATCAATCTGGGTAGGTCAGTGCGGAAACAGCGCCTGGGAGAGAAATGCTGGCTCCTGAGGCGGCGCGGGTGGCCGTAACCAGCGTCGGTTTTGGAGTTATCTGAAGCATTCTAGCTAGTGACTGCACCCGGAGAACACGCTTCTCGTTTCAATTCGGTCATTTCCGTGGGGGAATTGCGGCACGAGCCTGTCCTGGGTGTGGCGATGGCAAGAGGGAGCTCTGATCTCCCAGCTTTCGCGCTTCTGACCGGCATCACCAGCCCGCCACCCCGCATCCCGCCGACAGCGAGTGGACCCGAGCCTGCGGCAACTGCACGTTGTCTAAGCGCCAGGCTGCGCGCACTGTGCGTGTGTGCTTCTCCCCGCTACTTGTTCCGCGCCTGGAGGCGGATCCCCTTCCTGCACACAAGTCCTTATATGCACCGGTTGCACCAGCCCGCCTTACTCCAGCCCCACAAATAATTAATGGGGGTGGGAGGGCGTCACTCTTCCCCTCCCCCGGCCATTTTTTTTTTCAGCACTATCACGTTTGAACCCCATCGAGAAACCCCAAGATGCGATTGAAGGACCATTTTGGTGCAGTGCACAAATTGGACATACAAAAATAGACCTCGGCTCTCTGCGATAAGCACGTCAAGGTTCAGGAACTGCTCTTCCGATCCAGACGGATAAGCCCGCAAAAGCCTCAGCGGAAGGGTGCGCGCTCCTCCCCCATCCACGCTGGTGCAGAGGGACCGGGTCAGGAAGCTCGGCCTCTCCCCAGTCGGAGACCACGCCTTCTCCACCTCCCTCCTCCCGCGTCTCTCCTCCCAGGAAGCGGTGACAGACAGTTCTGTGTGGTTCTCCACCCCCACCCCCCCAGCTGAGTGGAGGAGTTGATGTGTCTCATTATAACAGCCAATGCAGCCGCCATCCACGCAAAGCAAAGAAGCATGTCCCATTTAAATACACCCACGCAGCCCTAGCGCCCTTAGTTGATCAGGGCGCGCAGCCCACACTCACCGCGGCTCCGAGCTTGGAGATCCGCGCAGGTTGGGCTCCCGGACCCAGCGGACAGACGAGCGGAGGATCGGGATCGGACTTCGTGGGGCTGGGGTGGGCGGGGGAGGCTGGGCCCGGTGCCTCTGGTGCGACACCCGCATGAGGACGCGAGCGAAATAGACCAAGGTGGAATTTCCAAGGGAGCAGCTTCGGAGTGGTTTTGGTCCATTTCTCCAGCGAAGTAGACATGGCGAGCGACTCCCCTGCTCGAAGCCTGGATGAAATCGATCTCTCGGCTCTGAGGGTGAGCAGAACATGTTTTCTGATTTCTTTCCTTGAGGCTGGGTCAGGACGAGTGGTCTGGGGCTGGGGCTGGTGGCAGCAGCGGAAGAATGCCACTGGGAGAGAACCTGCATTCGGGTTTTGATCCGGGATGGTGAGGTGCTCTTGGCTGATCCCCTCCAGCCGGGGCTGTGCGGTACGTGTGCTCCTTTGGCTGTGGCCGATGCTCCCCAAGAGCTCGTGGAGCTTATTTCAGTACCATCTTAGAACAGTGTAAGAGCATTAAAATGAAAGGCTCGCATGTGTGTGTGTGTGTGTGTGTGTGTGTATGTGTGTGTGTGCGAGTGTGCGCGCGCGCGCGTGTGTGTGTACACGCCCCGGGCAGTCGTCTCGTGCCAAGGCGCGAGACCCGACTGTCCCTTTTTGCAAAAAGAACCACCGCGTGAGTAGGCACCGACCTCTCACGTTTTCCAGGTACCTGCAAGAAGACATCGTGAGCTTGGCTGTCCCCGCCTGCCGAACCTGCCACTCCAAGGGGCAGTTATTGCTATGCGGGTCCTGTTGATGGCAACTGCGCCCCCTCCCCCTTTTCTGCCTCCGGCGCTGGGGCCCTCTGTCAGCGGTCCCTTAAATGCATTCTGCCACTCACCTTTATTTATGGTTTCAACTTAGCCCTGCCTGTGCTTTCTGACTTTGTGGCTGTGACATTCCAGTTTTATGGCTGAACTTAAGCAGGTGAAAGGGATGTGTTTTCAGCTTTTCCCCAATCAGACCGGAACTCCCCGGAGTGTGTGTTTTCCCCGTGTCTGTGGCCAGTCCTTTGTCGAACACTTCCCTTCCCCCAGCCTCACTGCTTCGCGATTACCTTCTCGTGAATCACCTCAGACGCCGTTTCATTGTATTGACTAAGACATCACCGATATAGGATCCATTTTGCTGTTGTTTGGAGATCAGAATCCCAGGAATCCCAGTGTAGCCTCGACGCTTCCCCACCCCCATCCCCAATCCCAGCACACTCCTTCGGGGAAGGGGGCAGAGCGTTCTTGCCATTTTAATTAGATGCTGACTGCCAGGAAAGGGGTGAGGGGTGGCGATTGTGGTGGCAGCAGCGGGGATCTAAGAAAACATTGGACACCAATCTGAGTACGGCTTCTTTCCCTCCCAAACCAAAAATAAATAAATAAAATAAAATAAAAGCAAGTGCACATACTTGGTGCACGAAAGGTGGCTAAGAGCAAATTGACGGTTTCCACCGGCTGGCAGTACGGGTGGAAGTTCACCCAACCTCGCGAGGAATACGTTGTTAGATGGATGCTAAATCTTGGAACCATTTACCTGAATCTCGAATGCTTTTCTTGACATTACCTCTTTCTCCCCAGATATTTTAAAGAGCTACCTCTCTGATCAAAGTGGTATTTTTTTTCTTTAGTCTCTATAAACTTGTCATTTCCTCCCTCTTTTTTTTCTCCTAACCTCTTCTCCCCAGTCTGTTGGGCCAAGAGGTGAGGTTTCAGCCAGGCAGTGTCTGAGTTGAGAAGGGACAGGAGGAATGCCTTTGAAACGGGCTGTTCTGATAGTTGGGCAGCCAGAGCTCATTCATGCATGATTAGAGTAAGCTGTCTGTTTCCCTGGTGCCCAAATGCCACATTCAGAAGCTGATGCCCGCTGGGCAGCTGGGGGTTGGTAACAGGGTGGGTGCTTTAGACGAGGCTGGCTTCCTGCTTTGCCGACTGTGTGCTCATTTGTCCTACTTTCTGCGCAGGGAGTTACTGCCGGCGGTTAATCAGGTGGATGGATAGCCCAGACTTGGGGAGAGGGCAGGGAGTGGCTAAGGGGAAGGGGTCTGAACAATGGTTAATGCTTGTGATTTCCCTGAGCCGGAATATCAGCCTTGCTCCTCTAATGGAAATTGCACCGATGTGATTTAAGTTGCCGTGGGACTTGTTTCTTGTGGTCTTTTTCTGGAGATTTTCTGAGATTTTAAGCACAGAGCCTTAAGGCTTGGGAGCAACCCTGGGGGCTATCCCATCAATCTCCAGTACAATTCACAATGGGGAAACCTGTGCTCCCTGCAGTCTGTATTTTAAAAAGGTATCTTTGCATGATTCTGAGAATTATTCTTTGTGGTCTGGGCTGCTTGCTTCCTTCTCTGCTCTGTTTTTCTGCTTGCCCAGAGGTGTACAAACAGCTAGGGCAACAGCTATCCCTAGTGACTGGGGAGCCACCGGCTGGAAGAGGTAAATGCAAATGGGCAGACAGTTGTATTTCCAAGGCCTGGGATCTTCCACCAGCCAGTCTGTGGTGGTGTGATGTGCAGGCCCAAGTGGCTCCGAACGCCAGTAGGTGATCTCTACAAATCGGAGGGTGGATCATCTCTGCCTCCCCAAATTCGGAGAGGTGGGTTTCTGGAGAGCTGTCTCATTTGTTCCTAAGCCCTCAGTAAAGCCTGCCTACTGAGCACCTCCTGGGTAATGCCTGACCCCTGAAATGCAGCCAAGGTCAGTGGCTTCTAGGAGAATTTGCTGCAGCCCTACCAGTCCCTTGCTTTTTCCCTGGCTCTTTAATGTACACAATCAATGCTCTTTTTGTAAACCATGGGCTCAATGCATTAAAAGCAGGTCCTGTCTGGAGAGGCCTTTATCCTTCCCACTTTGGGGGCTTATTGTTCTCAGTCAATGATCCCAGACTGGACCCTGTCTAAATTTTCCCCAAATAGGAACAATGCATAATTCAAACCACAGCAACCAGTGACAGTACTAATCATTTAACTCATGCAAGATTTGGATGGTTTTTAAAAGTGAAATGAAGCAGATCTTTGGTTAGAAAATAGATGATCAGAATTCAGTTTGTTTAGTCCTGGATTTTAAAGCTCATGAAGATAAACTAAATCTTGAGGGGGCGGATAGTGAAGAGCTGGAAGAGAATTGTAGAACATTCTGGCATTGCTTTCATGGAACACATGGGAAACTGAAACCCAGAGAGTTGAAGTCTGTTGCCCAATGTCACACAGCCATGGGGGAGATGAGGAGAGTGATTTCAGGAGAGAACCTAGCTGTTCTGATTCCTGAATCAGTGCTCTTTGCTCTAAGTCACATTGTCTGTGGTCAAATCAGAAATAAATAATGTATTTTCTGCCTGAGCACAAAAAAAAATGGCAAAGAGGAATCATTTCACCAGGGACATGGAATTTTATTTATCAAGAACAGGAAAACTGCTTCACACAAGTCAGCTGGCTATGCAGACAACCACAGAGCTTTCATTCATCATGTCCAGCTCCCCACTTAGTGTCCCCTTTGCAGGTAAATGGCTTTCTGAATCGTGTACAGATGGTTGTCCTGCATGGCTAAGCTGTCTCAGTAACCCACTTCCATCTGAACCTGTCCCAAAGGGTCATGATAGATGTGTACATTATTCAGATGTCTCTGTATGTGAGGTTTCTGGAATCTGTGTGTGCTTTGTATGATCTATGTGGATACGGATATTGTAGATGTATGGATATGTGTGTGTACATGCACAGGCTACAGCAAACAATTTACTCATTCTAACCTTGGCTTGAGTCATTTCTGCTTCAAGATATCACAATATTAAAGATGAAACTTGCCACCAAGATGCTTTATTGCCTATGAGGTGAGCTCAGCCCAGAAAGCTTTTTGGAGATTAGCAGATTTCTGAATCTGAGCATCTTGGCTGTCCTCCGCATGGCCCACAGGGTAGGGCAATCAAGGCCAAGATTTGGCCACCGCTGACCTCATACCCTCAGCTTCTGCCAGGACTCACACATACTTTTCTATTGGAACAAAATTAGATGACCTACACTATCTCTTCCCATATCCCTCTCTCCCTTCTAGATCCACCTTTTTTTTTCTTTCCATAAAAACCTAGACTTAGATTTGTCCTCATCTGGAAGCCTTGCACACATCTCTCAGCTACACTTTTCATGCCTGGATTATTGTTGCTATGAGGTTTTCTTTCTGTCTCCTCAGCTATACTGGGAGCTCATTGATGGCTCACAGAGCCTCTTTGAGTCCAAAGGCCTTATTAGTTGAATTTGAATGAATGAGTGCATAAGTGAATAAAGTGCTATTTTCAAAAATCAAACTGTTTATGGCAAAGTTTAAAAATAATAAGACATTATATAATTATGCTATTCCATGATTAAATAGGATTTTATTGGAAACTTGGTCCCACCAATATTTGATCCCAGTAGTGGCTCCTAACAGAAAATAGTGCTGAGAAAAGATACCAGAAGGTGCCTTTTTAAATAGCACCTCAAACAGCCCTTAGCTGCCTCTTCTCTTCATGTGCCATTCTGACCTCATATGCCTCTCTGATATTCTAAGCTGAGCTCTCCTCCAAGATCACCATTTATTACATAGGAGGTAGGCAGGCTCAGCCCAGAAACTTTTGGAGATTACCATATTTGTAAAGTAGTTCAATTACCAGCATTACTTATGAAAAACACTTTTTCTTTAAACTTTTTCTTTCTGCATAATTCATTATTCACATGCGACCACATTTATTATGTCTGTGCCTTTTCAAAATTTTTCTTCTTTTTCTTGGTGGGTGGGGTGGACACCTAAAATAATACACTAATAACCCAGTGCTTAAAACCTGGTCAGAGTCTCATGGGTTTTAAAGACATTTTGGAATATTGTTCATTATCCCAGAGCACTTAATTAAATTTGCTCTAAACTGAGATTTTAGTAAAGCACAATTTTGCACAAATTGATGAGATAACACGTCTTAAAATGACAATAATTGGCACTTTATCATCAGATGAATTTGTTGTTTTTTAGAAATATTGAACAGGTGTTCTGGTAGCTATCAGAACATCAGAGAAATATGCATGAGCACTTTTAGTAGTCATTGTTAACTGCGCTAATGTTTAGTACAAACGCTACTATAAGTCATGGTTTGCTGTTTGCATAGTCATCTACTTAGGAGGTCATGGAAAATTTTGTTGATGAAAGAATACCAAGTGCTTTTCCTTTATTGAAGTATCACATAACCTCCTTATCTCTA